TCGCTGAAGCGACGTTCCTCGCGCCCTTACCAAGCCGAGGCGCGTTCACCACTACTGACCTTATAGCATGGCGCGCGCGTCAATTACAGAAGCGCATAGAAGATATTAACGCGATCAGAGACAGAGTAGTCGCGGCGCGCTTCAAGTCGATACGCGATTTTGAGAAGCGCTTCCGCGCGACTATCAAATCGCACGATTTCGAACCCGGCGCCTTAGTGTTGGTACGCAACTCGAGGGTCGAATACGAATTGAGCAAGAAGACGAAGCCGCGCTATTTGGGACCTATGATCGTAGTGCGCCGCACGAAGGGAGGCTCGTATATGCTGGCCGAGTTGGATGGCGCAATCTCAAAACTCCGGTTCGCCGCGTTCCGCGTCATTCCTTACTACCCACGTAGCGGGGAGCGCGTATCGGTAACCCAAATGACTGGAGTGGACGACGAGAGCATCGACGAACTAGAAGCGTACGAAACCGTAGAACCTGAAGAAGACGAGCCTGAGCGCGCGCAAGACGATTAGCGCGCGCAACCAATTCTCACCCGCACATCACCCAATCAATTCGCACATCCACACACTCCTCAAAAACATAAAACAAAAACACAAGATAATACGAAAAACACAAAAAAAAAATATTCCATGAAGTACATACTCTCAGTTTTACCCCGGGTTTCGTCCGGTGATATCTTTTTCTATCATTCGTCCATATAACGCGCATTGCCTGCACATAAACCCCACAGACTCTAGAATACATCAACGCACCACCGAAACGCTCATATTCCGCAAGTACATACTACTAACTACCATATTTGTATAGCGCGCGCATAATCACCCCCATAGACGTTCACTTTCTAACGCGCGCGCGGCGCCGCGCACCTTTTTTCCTTTTTTCTAATTTTCATTCAAACGCGCGCGTCATCGCCTCGGCGCGCGGCGCAACAAGGCAGGGATAGATGAAGGAAGGCGCGCGAAGAAGACAAGACGGGCGCGCACCCCGCAGAAAACCTAGTAAAGTCCATCGCAGTACCTTTATCTCGTCTCGCGCTCGAGCCTTACTTACATACTTATAATCTTAATTTCATAGCCCAGTGAATCAGACGAGGACATGGACATGGACATGGGACAACAAAATCAGGATCTATTGCAAAGGCGCATTGGCGCTTAGGAGAAAAACAGGTTGTATCTAGTTCAGAGAAGCATTGGCGCGCTCCTCCAGGTCAGACCACTCCTGGGACATGGCGAAAAGTTTGTTGGAAAGCGCCAAGAGATCCGCCTGCTGGGCGCGCGCATACTGACGAGTCTTCAAAGCGGACGCGCGCATGAGCGCATTTTCCTCCCTCAAGCGCGCCGTCTCAGCTTGCACCTCTCTCAACTCCTCCTCTGGTCCCTTGTACTTGCCTTTTCCCTTAGGCGCAGAGCCAGATGCCAACGGACCCTCGGCGCGCACAGGGATAACGCGCGAGGCGCGCACAACCTTATCCTCCACAGTGCGCTCATCAATAATCATCACATCTAAACCAGACCCGTCAGAACCATCTTCTTCAACGGCAATAGAGGAGGCAGTCTCCTTGGCAGACTCAGTAACCGTGGGGCGCTTGGGCATAGGCTTGCGCGGACGCGCCTTGGGTCCGTCTGTATTGTTGCGCTTAGCTAATCCCAAAGGCGTCAGTAGCGCGCCAACAGAATCCGACAAGACGCAACTTACAAAAGGAGCAAGCGCGCTTAGAAACGTCACAAGGAGGGCAGCGCCTGCCAGGCGTGCCTCCGCAAACCTGATTCTTGCTGGCGCAGTTGGTGCAGCGAGGCACCGAAGGAACAGACATACGTCCAACCTTGCGCTAATGCGGACGAACATTCAGCAGAGTAGCACACCCACACGACATAGAGAAACGCACCTGCATGGAAGCATCAGTACCAGACGCGTCGGTGGCGCGAGCCTCGGTACCCGGCGCTTCAGTGGCGCGAACAACGCGCTTGGGAGGCGCCACTGGAACAGTCTCTATCGCCTTTGCTTTCCATCCCTTCACCAGCACCTCAATCTCCTTGTAACCCTTGCGCCCCTGCTTCAGGAGCTCCGCGCTCTTATTGTCCATATCCAGCTCCACGCTCAACGCACCCGCGCGCTCGGAACAGCCGTTCATGGTTGCCTAGGAATGTTAGATCACAACAGGCAAGCCATGTAAGCGCACTCACCAGTACAGAGAGCCACTCGCGCATCCACATCTCTTGATCCTCGAGGAGCTCCGGCTTGAGGTCTGGCGTCACCATGACGCACGCCTCCAATGCGACCAGGGAAGCCGCCCAAGCGCTGACAAGGCGGTCGGTATCGGACTCCGCGCTAGCGTCAGCCATAGGCGCGTCCTCAGGGTGAATTGGCGCCACAGGCTCAGGTTCTGGAGAGGGAGTGGAGTTTAGCATGGCGGCAGTGAAAGGAGGCATGATGGTAATGATAAGAAGGAAGACAAGAGATCGCGAGAACACTTCCATCTCTTATCAACAACCCCATCGATTAGATCAGCGATGCTCGCGATCATCAAAGGAGCGGCCCTACTCTCGCGATCACATGACCCCTGTCTATCACCATTTCTCCAAGTCCAAAATCCCGCGCTATAGCTCTGAGTGGGGACACTCAGAATGTAAGTTCCCAGGAGATGTAGAGACTCGCGCCTCTCGATGCCGGATATGCGGCCTTCTTACCCATTTAATTCCCTATCTGTATCAGCTCACATCCTAAGGACCAGTCATTCGCGCTCTCGCGCGCGCGCCCTACGTATGCGCCTCACTCGCACATCGCACACGCACGCGCGCCCTTCGCGTGCGCGCTCCATAGGCCTTCGCGCTCCTACCGTCCGTCCCTCTGTCCTTTGTCCTTGCTGATTCACTGGTGCGTTATTTTTATCTCTCTCATTGAATTAACAAACCTTCGGTCCGACCTCCGTGCTTACATACAGAGAGCCTATTTAAACTTAGAATATATTTAGAAGTTGATATGGTTACTCGGTTCGGGAGCGCGCTCGGAAGCGCGCCGCATAGCGTAATCTCCCTTCTTAAATAGAGGGAGGATTCCTTCGGTTCTGGTACTTACTTTCCCCTTATCTTGATATACTGCAAAGTGTAGAGTTCTCCCTCCAATACTAGAAATCTGATTATACTCCTCCACTGTTGACACCTGTGCCCTTGCTACTCTCTTAAGGACTCCTCTCCTTCATCGTTCAAGCGCGCGCCCGCTTACGCGCGTACCCTCCGCATCTCTCGCTCACGCGCGCATCTCGCGCGCCTTCGCATCGCCTACGCGCGCCTTCGCGCGCGTTACTTTCCCGCGTCTACCAGCGCCCGTCTAGTTGACATAGTTTCCCTCCACCTTATTCGCGAGGAACTTCTCTCAGTAGCTGTCCTTTGGGTCGAGTTGTATTCTCGTATCCAGGTCTTGCTGTAGAGCCCCCTTTCTTTTAGTGTTTTCACCCACAGTCAAGATTCCTCACCTTCACCGGTTTCATGTATGAGCCCGTTGTCTGCAAGGTCTTCTGTTTCTTCATTATAAAAATGCTATGCAGGACTAGACACAAGTACGAACCGATACTGGCTAGATGTTCGATGATTTGCTTCATTTGCTCCAGGGTCCAGAATATCGAACCGGCCGTGGATTGACTCAATGTAATTGCTTCTGTGCCTGCTAAGCGATTCTTGCCATCCCCGTGATATAAAGCTTACCTCCAATATAGCAAATAACTTCTCTCCGTACGCTTCTCACAACCAAAACATCCATCGACGACTGCTGCGGAAAGAATTCAAAGTGTTTCCTGCCGACAGTGAGAAGTCTTTTGATCAATCAGGTTGGCACATCCGACCACTTACCAATACTGAGCCTCGAGTTCGAGTCCTACATGATTGCAATCGGTCTCAAAGAAAAATTCAAAGATAAGGTACTGACTCTTATGTTCCCATTGGCTTGGCTGGACACAGTCGCGGAAAAGAAGGTGACCATTTAGTTCCTCTATCCAGGCAATGATACGCTGGTCCAGAACCACGTAGTAATATTGGAACTTTTCTTCTCCTCTGAACATTGTTGGATGAACGACCAGTATCCACGCATCTTCTTGCATCACAGCTCGTAATGCATCGACAAAGTCATCGATCTTCTGGGGATCCTGGTACCGCCTTAGGTTTACCGAAGTATACGTTCTCTAAATTTTTATCGAGTTTATCACTTATACGATTAGCTAGGCAGCACTCACCTTGTCCTTATGATAGTAGTATGTACCACCTAATGGGTGGACAAATTCCTCCCAATTCCCATATTTTAAGGGCCTGTTGATGGCGTTGAAGTGAATCCATTATGAAGAAAAGAAACTAACCTAGGGACATCAGTTTTCTTCCTACCAATGAAAGTATCTTCAGGTATATCATCACTAATTGTACGCAGAAAAAGTCAATCGAATGCAATCCTACTCGCAGACGGGTACTCACAGCATCATCACTTCAGCGTACCGCGGGAGTTGCGTTGGCCAAATACCAACTGCATGATTGAGAATCTGTTGCTGAGAACTGTAAGTTGTCTAAACCATGTTAGACTCTTGATCATGAGCACGTCCAAGAGGCACAGTTGAGCTTACCATGTTCAAGCCAGGAACCTGTGACTGAAGGTTGTTCGTGCCGTAGTAGTACAGAGAGTACAAAGACAATCGAACCAAACTTCCTTTTTGGGAATTTTATGACGTAGTCATCAGCGCGCTCAACTCAACAAGTAGACCAGAAAGCAACCACAATGACAAGTTCCATAGATATCATAAGTAAATTATCGATATATATAGCCCACAAATATATTTATGCTGCGAGCTAGAGGTCTATATCAGAGACTACTGCCCCCACAGCAGTAGACGAACCCTAAGTATCAAAAGAAAGTGTTAGGACGGCACCTTATGCCAGCAGAAACTTTTCGCCCTACCCACTGGTGCAGTATATGTAGGTTGGCAGAATTATCCACGTTCTTGCGGCCCAACTCGAAAGCCTATGCGAAACGGCATTGTAGATATCGAGATGGTCCATCACCGGATCTGCATACTAAATGAGACGAAACAAGGAAGAGAAAGACATCAGTTGAATTTTAGAACCCGGCCACCTGTAATGAACGCACGGAACCCAGACTTGCGGTGTACACTACTACTTCGTACAGCTCACCCATCTGTCGAAGAAACTCGTCTACTCCTGGTCGCTTCTGTACATACATGTTGTGCCATTGATGCTCAATTTGGACAGGAACGACAAAGTCTGGATCTGGTATGGGCTGACAGCGAGGTACATCAAAAGCAGGTATAAAATCGGAGTGAAAGATATACCATGATGTTAATATGGACGAGGGTCTCGTCCAGGTCAAGCACTAAACACTTCTTGCCAACATGTTTAGGCGCGATGGGTGGGAGAAGTGGCCATGGCTTTCCGTCCTGTAAATTCCAAGTCAGAAATATATCCATTGGACTACGGATCCACTCACAGAGCCCATGGGAATGCCTGCACCCCCATTCCTGATCAGCATTTCATCTTCCTCGCTTAACTCATCAAACGAAACATCATCCGACTCGTTACCATGTTCGGACGGGCGACTTGCAGAGGTCTTTAATACTTGACCAGGAACAGAAGAACCTGGCAGTTGTACGGCCCTACTGGTAGCGCCCGCAGTCTCTAGCAAGTCCTTAAGAGGTACAGCAGGTTGACCTGAGGATGCGACCGGAACTACCGATGCGACCGGTGCTTTTTCAGAAAATTGCTTCACAGCATTGTCCGCGGTCTTGTGAGCCAGTAAAGTAGGACCCGACCCAACGCTTGCCACACCATCGACGTCGATGTCATGAGCTCGGGAATCGACTCCGACGCAGCAGAAGAGCTTGCGAAAGAACGTGGCCAAGAAGCTCTCTTTGGGTTTCTTGACACGTTTGATCTCAGAAGACTCTACAAATGAAGCGTGATCTTTAGATTGAGAGCGACACCGGAGACTGCTGCGCCTGTAATAACTTTGCGAAAGGAGTGTGGATGTGCCTGCGGATTCTTCGCGCTTTTCAAGTGCCGGAGATGCAGTAGATGATGAAGAAGTATATGCAGCACTGCCTACATTCTCTTTGGAAGAAATAGAGGGACGAACGCGTGGTGGGACCTACCGGTCAATGGCATGTGGCGTCCTTGATAATGAATCCTTCGAAGGCGCGGACGCAGCAGCTTTTTTGTAAGCTGTAGATTGAGTATCTGATGGCATGATGATTACAGTCCTGGTATCTATCAGGAGAGCGTCGTCGAACGAGAGGTCCTCAACAAATGACAAGCAGGATGAGTACGAGCAGTAAGCTTGAAGGGAGGTATTGAACTACTGCGATTGTGAACAGTTAATATAAAAAGGGGAGAGTTGATGCAGGGACCTACTAGTACTAAGACGACTTGAAGGCCGTGGTCCAACCGCAACCTGCCTACAGCGTTGCCTCCCGTTAAGCAGCACTTGCGGCCGTCAACCTAAGCGTCAATTATTTGCGGCCGCGTGGAAACAACAAGGCAGCGCCAAAAAACGTTACATATTGCGTTCTGTCAGCCGTAATGTGAATCCGAACCAGGTACGGCATCTTGGATCCAGACATCAGCTTGGCTTGAATGGTGATGTCTGTGGGAGAAAGATGACTGAGTTCAAGCGCTTGCGTCTTGACCCACCCAGGAGGTCTGAGATCTTTGAGAAGGAAGTCGTCCCTCGGCAACTGGTTGGGCAGCTCAACGCTATTGTTACTTTCACGCCGAGGTACTCGTTGATCTCCTCGACCTGCTTGGTGATACACTGTACAGGAAGGCCGCAACCTGAGTGCGAAGATCTGCTGCAGTGATGAATGCCCGCAGGATGTTCTTCGGCAATACATGGGTGTATGAAGCAGTGTCGTCCTTGATATCATCATTGGAGACATAGATATGTTGGAGATGGAGAGGAAGATGCGTAGCAGAGATGGCACGGACACGCCAATCAGATTTGCTGCTAAACACCTGAAGTTGGTTGTCGTGACGGTCTGAATCGTTTCACCGTGAACGTTGGTGGTCTGAGTTTGCACAGCGGTAACACCCTGCGCCTCATTACTCTTTTCAAGCTCAGCCATCTGCTGGCGCTGTATGGAGGGAGCGGCAATCTCTTGACCAAGAATGATGTCACGAATTTCACTCGCAGTCAAGGACGCGATGTTGACGCTGTTCCGCTTGCCGAAATCCTTGGACTCGATGAGTCAAAGTTCAAAAAGTGTGCGATATTACTTACTGCCAGTATAAGATCCTTCATTGCGACCTCAACCTTGATCCATTCATCATCTGTAAGAGTGGGCCAGACGAAGTGAGGCTCTGTAATGGTCGACTTGTCCGGGTGCAAAATAATCTTCGCCTTCTCGTTGTTGACGTGCAAGCCACAAAGGAGGAGGATAAGACGAGAGAAGGCAGTGTAGCTGGACACCAACTTGAGCCAGTCGTCGTACAAGCTGAACAGTACCATTTGAGGTTGTGTAGCACGCTGTGAGAAACAGCATCAGCAATGAAGATGTAAATACGCGTGGACCCACTTACTAGGAACCGAACTTCTCCATCTTCATGCAAGCCTGGAAGGGCAGTTGTAACTCACTTCCCTTGATAACGATGTTCGGGAAATCAAGTAAATGAACCTCGAGAGGGTCCAACATGCCCTTGTGAGTGACGATGACCTGCTTCGGCTGTTCTTCAACAGGCAGTGAACGAACCAATGCAGCCACTTCTTCGGCAGTCTTCCACTTTGCGAGTTGACCGAGACAGCTTTTGGCCAGCCCAGACACTGGTGTGGATGATCTTCAGGAACAACTGTCCAGAACGTGGGTTGAAGATAAAGATGGCGCCGTTAATCGGTTTAGTCGTCAAGTTACCTTCGAACGTCTTGTGGATAGTGACACGATACACATTAGTGTCCGTCGACGAACCAAATGATCTGGTTCGAAAATAATTCGAATAGTTCTGGCTGTTGAGATAAGGCTCCGTGGGCTCAGAAGAGTACAACTGGAGACCCTTGCGAATACTGCTCGCGCAAGACGTGGCATGCCGGATTGGCCTTCATGATCTTGGCCATGGCTTGCTGAATCAGAGGCTTCATACCGGGGAACCAGTTGCCGTACGCAGACCACAGGTTATAGGCTAGATCCATGCTGATCATAACACCAGTTGGTGAGGGGTAGATACTCATGGAGTCGGACACGTAGTCCAAGAACTTGGCATGAGTACACCGCTCGATATCATGGGTGTCGAAGTCACCCCACCGAAGCTGAAGCGTCAATCCAATACTTGTTGCTGGTCGTGCCATCCAAAACGTCCTTGTTCTAAAAAACCGGAGAGATCAGATCAAAGTCCAATGGTGTATTGAAAGTGACCAACATCTGTGACCAATGAAGGCCGAGAGATATTCCATTTGTAGGCTGAGAACATCAAGATATCGGCGCAAGATGAATTCATCTTGTAACTCTTACGAGGGTGAATAGTCTCCTTCTGTACTGTCTCGATCTGGAGAGGCTCTAGCTCCTGATCAAAGACCTGACACAAGTCCATGACTACACTTTCGTGAATCTTCTGCCACAAGTGCGCACGGAAGATCTGAATCAGCGAGATCTTGAGGGTGGGAATCTTGCCGTGCATGAAAATACCCAGTCAGATCAAGCTGGACCTGGAAACCGACATAGACGTTGGCGTGGTTGATGGTCGGACTCCACCAAAGCGTGAATCGACGGTTAGGGATCTGGTTAAGACCTGACCTCTGGGCGTTGGTAAGTTTCTTGTATCGCATAGACTCTTCGAATCCAGACGCTTTCTCCCAGAAGAGACCCTCCCAGGTAGGGAAATAAGTTCCTTTGAAGAGCGTGTGCTCCAAGATACCCTCAACACCGCCCACGCCAACCTCGGTCATATGCCAATGTATGGCGATCCTTTTGGAAGAGGGTGTTGATATGAGGAATACCGCGGTCCCAGCTATCTTCAAGATCTTCAAGGGTGAGGCGCCGATTCTGGGCATTGGCCTCCTTCCGCTTCATGGAGTATTCGGACCAAACACGAGCCGAATCCAAGAATTCTGCCTCCCATGGCTGAAGATATCTGTACAAGTTCAGAATCAACTGGTCCTCCTCGTGGGTCATACCAGCACGGAAATGCGTCACTGATCAAACGAATTGTAAGCCAGAAGATGATTATCAAAGAAGAGAGTGAACGAACCTCCAACTGTCAGTTTGCTTGGACCATCGCAAGTCACTCTGCGGGATAAGAACGTGACCCATCGAAAGCATTCCAAGACCACCAAGCTCCTTCGGTGTGTAGAAGACAACAGGAGGGAAACGGGATGGCATCTTACTGTTTAAGCCGATCTTGACACGAGTTTGAATCTTGTTCTCTGCCTTGACAAGAGAGCCCAAAAGCTCGTTTGTGTGGATGACAGCCTCACGGTAGTAGGTCATCAAACCGATCAACGCAGTGTTCCACTTGTTGACGATCTTCGAGAAAGTGGTGGAACCGGAGCTCATAAGGACCTGACGAATACGGTTATTGAATTGCTGGACACCGTCATCAGAGACACGGAGGAACGCCTGCGCAGTTCTCTCTTTGGTCTGCTCGTTGGTGAGATTCCACACAGCGTCCTTCGACGAGAACTGCTCGCCACCCATCGTCCTAATCTTGGGCAAGATACGGACCTCGAACCCGCACATCGAGAACAACAACTGTGGGTTGTCCTTCGAGTAAACGCTGACAAAGGTGGCCTCCCACTCGATGGTGGTGAGTGAGCGCGGCAGGCTGTTCTTAACGTTCCAGAAAACTGCTCTTCCAAGGTTAATGTCATGTTTGATGAGACGCATACGACAATCTCGAGGCCAGCAGCGTTTGTTGTTATACCCGATGACGTTGTTGTTGGTCGGGTCAGGGTTGGCGCTAAGATAGCGTTGGATCAAGTCCCTTGCCTCATCCGCGCTGAAGCGGAAGAGAATGTGTAAGCGATCAACATAACGGGAGTATAAGTGGATGGGGTGACGAGTCTCGGTTGCCGAGTCGCGATACTGCAAAAGGTTGTTAGGCATCTGTGGAGGACCCGCCATCTCGCTAGCTCGCTGCAAGCCAAGAATGAGGAGATCAAGGACGAGACCGTAGTACTGGAAGACGAAGGCAGAGAACTGAAGACCACGGATGAGACCGAATGCATTCGTATGTGCCATGTCCTTGTAGGTCAGCACGGTGTTGTTCTTCGCGGTGATGTAGTCTGCCAAGTTGTGATCAAGAATGAGATGGAGGAGATGGTTCAGCAGGGTCAGGTCGATCTTCTCATACACCTTGGAGAAGACGGTCTCCATCATCACGTTGCACTCGCCCTCGCTCGTCTCCCAGATATCTGTCAAGTTGTTGATGCCTTGGCACCACTTGTACACAAGCAACGGCGGTGGCTCCGTGTCGGCAGGTTTGATCCAGGCAGGGAACAACCCTCTTTTATCTGCCTCGAAGAAGAGGAATTGATCGAGATACTGTAAAGTATCAACGTCAGCATGGCATATAACGGAGTAAATGCTGAAACCTACGGCGTCGGTGATCTTCTCAACGGGCTCAATGTCGTAGCACGGAATGAGTTTGTCGTACGTGTCAAAGAACTCAATACCAGCCTCCTTGAACGCACGCTGGGTAAGAAGCAATCGCTTGATGCGCAACAGACATTTGTGTGGATTGTCATACGCCTGTTCAATGAGGGCAAGCTCCTCACGCTGCGACTGATTAAGACGACCCTTGACTGAGTAAGCCTCCTTCAGTTTTTCAAGTGCAAGTACAAGCAATTTCGTATCGTGCTTGTACGACAGAGGGCTAGAGCAAACGGTAAGTTTAAAATGTGCAAACCATGCCTCGCTTGCTTACGGGAATGGTATAGAACCAAATTTGCGGCTCTCAAGCCCGTGAACAGTTGCTGTGTAAATTGCAATGGCCTCTTTCGCACTGATGTACGGTCCATCCTTCAAGTACCCCATGCTGCCTCTCCCGCTCTGCTTTCAAGTACAGATGAGTCAATCGACCTAAGCACCACTAATCAGCTTTGCTCTTGACGTACCGTAAAATAAAGTTCTTGATCGCAGTGGGCATTCCAGGGACTTTCATGGGATGTTCGCTTTCCAGCAACGTCACGCCTCTGAGAGATGCTTCAGCGGGCCTTGCGAGGCCTCATTATATCTGGACGAACGGTTTTACTTTGAAGGTTACTTTTAAAATGGTCGAAGTGCGGATATTGTTACCTTTTTTGGAAGTGTCAATATTTCAATCGGTTCAAGCTTGAAATATATTTCAAAACATCAATACACATGGGTTATCGCTTCAGATCTTTTGTGATTCAGAATCAACGTGCAAAAATGTAAGTACTACTAGTAGGACGTTTCAGTTCAATATGACCAGCAAGATTTTAGGAAGATTTGAGTAAGACGATACAACAGGAGGTCAATATCAGGCTATGTAGTACCTGCACTGTATGCTATGCGCTATTATAGTATACAGTATTCGTGATTGGTGAAATGGGAGATCATGATACATTCCTGCAGCGGTGAGATGGGTATAGTAGATCATGGAGTGATGGTCATAGTTGCAGTCCGAGCCTGTACTTCATCTCTGGAACTCTAAAACATCTTAGAGGAACTTGAGACTATAGATAGTTACGAAGTAAATCAAAGAACTCACCCTCTGCACGGCCGATCTTATGTGCTGCAGTACGCGAGCGCAGCCGCCGGTGAAACGGCGCATCAATTGCCTCATATGATCCCACAGCGGGGTTCGCGGAGTGGCGGTCTCGGGTATCAGAGTCAGGTACGCAGTGACGCGGTACACAAATGCATACCAAGTCTGCCAAAAACTCCAATTGTGACTGTTAAATGTGAGACTTTGCCGTCAAAATTACACGAGAGATGCTTACGATTCCGTCATTTCTTGCGTTCTCTGGGCTGTATACAACGCGGGACATGTTCTAACGAAGGCGTTGATTGATTCGATCGGAGGAGATTTGGCTTGATGGGCTTACCGTGAATATGCCTTATTGGGCGTTTGACAACAATTTTTGATCGATCTAATCAGCGAGTATGTCGCACACCAAAAACAATGACAAACAACTTTGTGGGCGCTAATTTGCGAATGTGAACTTGAGGCGGTCGAGCTTTCGTACGACACCAGAGATTGTTTTACTAATGAGTAAAAGGGTAATTCATTTCTGAGATACACGTGTACAAAAATATTCAGAAGGCACACCGTTCAGATCATGATGAGTACAATATTCAAGTTGATCAAAGTGAGATAGTCGACGGTGTGAAGTAGGAAATGTGTATCTGCGCCATGCCAGTAACCGGAAAGGCGAATTCTGCGTTGGGGACTTCGAAATCTACGACGGACTTGACTTCTATGGGCCTGACGTCTTCAAGGGTCTTCCTCCGGCCGTCTGACATTACTTTGGGAATTCCATGCTTAGGCTCCAAAACTAAGACGTTTTCCTCCCTAAACGGATGAGACGGATGAGTAAGATTACAATGTTAAAGGAGACTGACTTGAGAAAAAGAAGCTCATGGGCTTCCTTGAAGAAGACACTGAAGTCGCCTGGATGTTTGTACATGTTATCGAGGGCAGTCATGATGATAGGAAACAGCGCAGGAGCCTTCAAGTGAGAGTTGCTTTGTGGGGGATGAGTTAACCCTTGAAACATCTGATACATAAGCACAAATTTGGTCATCGACGTCCGACGAGCAAATAAGTAAAAGCTCACGAGGGTGCTGAGTACACCGACAACACCTTTTTGTAGATAACCTGTCCAAGATTGTACAGCGTCAGGGTATAGATCTGCCAATCTAACCTTTCCTTCAGCTAATTCGGCGATAGGTCGGAGTAACGAAGCCCAGAGCACTTCCCGGAAGGCCTGCGTGACAATAAGCTCCGTGAGGGCTCGTTGTATCTGATAGACAAAGTCTCAAGTTTCTATTTGATACGAATTTGCAGGCTCTTACCAGGTTTAGGTCCCCTGAGTCGAACAAACTAATCAAGTCGAGGATCTTCTGTTTCCGGTGGGTTTCGTGGGTCACGAATCCATCCGTAACATTCATGCTACCTCTGGCGACCTTACGTAGCTCAGAAGTAAATTCTATGTATAAGTCCAGGAACTGTGGAAAACGTTTAATGGTGACTGAAGGTAAACCGACAAACGAACGTACTCTATTGCGCAAATATGACCAATCCACGAGGGTCTCCCTCCCAGCTTTGTCCGTGACCCTCACTAATCACAATGTTAGTTAGTGGTGTTGAGAATTGGAGGCGGACACTTACATTTCTCATTACACAATGATTCGTATGTTTGACCGGTGAAAAACAGAGCTTTCAAAAAACTGGTTGTAATCAACTGCCTCGACACCGGCTCGGGCATATTAAAGGGGTTGGCAGGTATGCCGACCAATAAACACCCTACATAAAGGTATCTTGCCAACTTATATGGGTGTGCCCAAGGTGAGTCTATCATCAAACTTTTGAGCATTGTCCTCTGGCCATTGCTCAGTGGATCCTCTCGTGAGTTTTGTCTCCAATGGAGGTCTTTGTGAGGAAGTTGTGTCCCATCGAAAGGATGATTAGCAGGGAGGATCACAGCATTCGAGAGGCCGTCACCCTCCTCCTCCAAAGCAGGTGTGAGTACGCCAGAAAAAGTCGACGCTGTGGTTACGTCAAACACGGAGGGATCATAATCAAAATCTAAGGGCAGGTGGAGGGACGTGTCATGGAACGATGGTCCAGGGAGCGACTGCCGAGTAACTTGATCAAAGTGCTGCCAAGATAACTCCTCCGAAAGCTTGACAGGAGGAGGGAATCCATATGGGAACATTGCCGGGGAGAACTGGAAGTCGTGTAACTCGTGAAGCTATGTATGACGCGCACTGAGTCCGACGATGTGGGGGGATTCGAAGGGAAACTCACCATCCACATGGGCACAAGTTTCATTTGTGTGCTGGCCCCACAATAAGGTGTCCTAGTATTCTCGAGAATTGAGGCGCCACCATGCTAATGTGTTCGTCTAATGAGAAGTGAACTCGACTGCATAAAAGATCTCTTACCTCAATAACCTCATAGATTGCGTATCTACTAATGTCATCTATGATGCCCAACAATCCCACTTGTCGTAGGAGCTCGTCAGCAAGACCACGACATTCTTCAGGCCACTGTGAACAAGTACAATTATATGAAAAATTTGACTTGGAGAATTACAGACAGACTCACATAGAGTGGCGAAAGATGATAAGCATGAGTGACATAGCCAAGGAAAGAGAATTGACCTGAAAGGCCTTGAAAGGGCTGAAAACACGGGTCAATTAGAGTGACGACTGATGGCTGATAGTGAACCTCATCAATCTGCAGTAAGAAATCATGAGTGATGCGAATAAAGTCAGCCACTGATGCACTCACCTGAAGCGGAACAAGTCGCATAACTTCGTTCCTTGCTTGAACAAAAACATAGTTTTGAGCGTTGTTAACATGGACAGTTGGTAGCGCAGTTGACAGTTGCATCATCCCGGTAAGTTTGGAGTGATGAAGAATCAGACAACACTAAAAAGACCTTAAAAATTGTTCAAACATGCGCTTGTCTGCCCACATTACATTCGACCGCTAGGCAATGATGCCGTAACATATCAGCCATCAACATGCGTGCCAGGGGTTTAGTCATGGGTAGGCCAAAGCCAGTGATGGCCAGTCACGGCAAACCATGTATTGGAAATATGCCGGGAAGAAGCCAGGGGGCTTGCTAGGCGGCACAGCAGTGCCAGGCAGAAGCGAACATGAGTAGCCCAGCCCAGCCAGGAATCGGCACATGTGATGAAAAAGCGGGGGCGAATAAGGGCGATGCAGTAGCGAACAATTGATTATATTTATTAATTTTCATAATCGAATGTGTGACCGGCCAGAAACATCTCGTCTAGTGCCTGCATGAGTGATTCAGTGCTGGCATTGACTGCCTGATCGAAAAGCCATGCTCCTCCGCGCCCACGTAATCTTCATCGTCGTCTTCGTCTTCGTCCTGTTCATCGTCACCGGGAATTTGGCAGTGTGTGCGCTCCATGAGGCCTCCACTTTCTGAAGGTTCATGTTCTGTCCGTACTGTCGTCTCCACGACTCCTGCTTCATGAGAATAAACATGACCTACCCCAAGGCCATAATGAAAGCGCATGAGTGTATCGCGATCAACGAAGCTAGTGTAGTCCTATTATTAATGCTCATCCGCATCAAGTTATTTCAGGTCGCTCACCTATTAACATAGTATTCATGCCAATCGTGCTTGTCACCCGCAAGAGGAGAAATCCCGGATTCACCTGGATTGCGCTGGCCTTGAGAAAAGGCCGGGATGATATGACATGCCCTAAGAACCATCCCTGGGTCAACAAAACCGAACGCGTTCTGGTGTGCCAGCGGCCGGAAGCGAACTCGGCCCAAAGTATGTGAGTCCCACGCGTGAATTTGCACTGATTCATACCATCGAACAAGAAGAAATTCGAATCGGTGACTTTCGTACACATTGGCGACGCGCACGATGTTGACGTGGTGGATCCCAATGACTTTGGCATAGAGGTAGTGCCCATCATCACTGCGATTTGCGAGTAGCATAATGTTGCAATGCTGAGTCCTTGGGTTTACGACGTCTTGAGCTCTTCGAACGTCATAGGTGGTATAGTTGAATCGCGCGAGGTTGTGGTGATATATCCGATTCCGCTTGAAGAGGATGGTATTGTGCTGGTCGGTAAGAGCTGATCTCTCTAGAGGCGATTGGGTAGTTTCCGGCTCGAAATCCTAAGCGATGCTTCAAGATAAAGATCAACGCGTTACAGAAACTGCTTACCCTCATAGCAGGATCTCCTTTGTGGTCGCGAAGGTACTGACCAAAATCATCATACATTTTCTTGCTTTGGCCTATATGATGTTGGAGTTGGGGATCGTTGGCCATTTCAGGTACCCCTGCGTGAGAGGCTGGCTGTTGTCGTCGTTTGATGCGGCGCAAGCGCGTCTCGCGGCGTTCAATTTGAGTCAGTTGACGAACAAAGGTCCTTCGATCGGTGCGATGGTACCTGCCTTTCGGGGTACGATGCTCTAACTCC